AAGAAAACAAGCCAAAAACAGAAAGGAGGGCTGGGCATTCAGCAGTCAATAACAAAGCAAGACGTAATGAAAACACCAATTACGTAATCGGGTCTCAGCTGAACCAGCCAAACATCACACTCTGCAGCGCCGTGAACCGAGTCCACGGCGAGCGATGAAGACAACACGAGGACAGCAACAAAGAGACCCAGTGTGTCTTCGGTTTGAGATATTTTTAGTTGGCAAGTCTTTAAAGTAACTGACATCAAAGCGCTTTGTGTGAGTTCTGTCTAATTTGTGGCAAGAGCCATTTCCAACAGCCTGACAAAAACAGCTTTGTTAAAAGACAAACAACTGCTTTTACTCGACTTCAGCTCTTTTCTATTTCAGCTCCAACTGGCTTTTCTTTTTTTTTTTTCCACCATCTATTCTTGAGACGGGGCGGGTCATTTACAGAAAGATTAGATATATGGAGCCAATCCCAGCGGCCACTGGGTGAGGGCGGGGCACATCCGGGACAGGTTGCCAGTCTATCACAGGGCTGACGTATATAGAGACAAACAACCGTCACACTTACGGGCAGTTTACAGTCGCCAATTAACCCGAACCTAAGAGTCTTTGGATTGTGGGAGGAGGCCGGAGAACCCGGAGTGAACCCACGCAGGTGCCAGGAGATCGTGCAAACACCTATTAGATCCTGCTTGGCCCACTTACTTTGTTTTACCATCATCCTCATGATGCGATACTAAATTTCATTGATCCCTACTGTAAAACTTTATGTTCACTTACCCTCCCCCCATTTCCACAGCTACAAGAGAAAGTGCAGCATCATCATCATTATACATCCATTGCGGTTTATCACAGGTTTATCACAGACTCCCAATCTTTTTAAAACTCCCCAAACTCTCCTGCTGGGGACACTTAAAGGTTTTGACATTTCTTCTATAATGACTGCTTATAGAAATGGTGGTTAAACTGTAAACGGTGAGTCGGTGGTTTATCAAATCAGCAAATGATATTTCCAGCTTCTGAGAAGTGAGGATGTGCTGCTTCATGTCATTGTAAACCGAATATCTTGGCCAGACACAAAACAAGACATCTGAAGACGTCACCTTGGCTTCTTCGTGATGCGATGACCGGAGATTGTTCAATATTAAAACAACAGCTGTAGCGCTACCTGGACCTGCAGTATAAGCCAAAGGAAAAAAAAAAAAAAAATCATCCACAATGTTCATTTGCAGACGTGCTGGAAGCAAAGCCTCGGCTTTAAATGCCTGGGTGCTAGACTAATGCAGTGAATTAGAGCAGAGATCTGATTTTAAAAAAAACTCCACTGCAGTCTGTAGCCGTCAGAGAAAAGGAAAGACAAAGAGAACGAGGGAGCACGGGGGGAGAAGAGGGACAAAGAGAGACGAGCGATGAAAAGGTCTGAGAGCAGAACAAGCCTGGCTTACAAAACCGACGTTTATCCTTCCCTGTTGATATAAAGCATAACAGAGGTTCAATGTGCCCCGCGAGGCATTTGGATAGCAAGCGCAGACAGATACAGCAGATGGAAAATGTTTGTGTAGGCCAGTGGACTGAGCTGTGAAGAGGTTAGAAAAGCTGGCTGCGATTTCAAAGTCCCCGGTTCAGAACTTCAGACGCGCCGAGAAAAACGTGGACGTAGAGATAAATGAAGCGAAGCGACCGAGAACATGTTGAACATCACAAAACATGTTCAGAAAGAAGCATCAGCAGAGTAGAATAATATGAAAAATGGAATATTAGCACATTATCGCTGCTCTGATTATTCATCTGGTTATCAGTATCTGATACTCGGTTCGCCAAGTTCATTTTAACAACTTATCAACAAAAGCCAGCGGCCTTCAGACTGAGAGCAGATAATGGTTCAGCCTATTAGTCTTATTCTGCGGCCCGGAGAAAATTGGAAAACAGCTGGGTGCACGCTGAAGTAACGTCAGGACGAGATGTGAGTCGTTGAACACACAGAGCTCCGAGGTCCAAGTTTTTGTGTTTTCAAGCACAGACGCAGCAAAAACCATCCAGTGCATGAGGTTAACGTGGCAACGGGGCAAAGAGCAGTTCAGTTCAGTTCAGCCCGAAAAACAGGGGTTGATGGGGACATGCCAGGATACAATCCATGCATGTGTGTAAATGTGAATACTGTGCACACGCGGATGTACAGCATCTCCACAATCCGGTTCACCTCAAAACCTTTTTTAAAAAGGTCAGTTCTCACAGCAGAGATATAATTTAAAATGACTAATGGTAAAATAATACTATATCATCAAGGTCAATGAGTCTAAAGTCAGAGCCATTTGCACCTCATCAATCATCAGTCAAGAGAAGGTCAGTTATAATTTGAAAAACACTTCACTTAATTCAGACCCTGAAACCCAAATGTAATGAAGCCCAGCCGCTATCGAAGCTTAACTTTTCCCAGCAGTGCAGTGGAGCTGAACTATCAAATCCATCACAGTCAACATCTGATAAAATCCCACAGGAGTCTGATGCTGTAACTCTGACCTGGTCTGAACCCGTCGGGTCGAGGTCGTCGTTTAAAATCTCTTCAGTTTGACGGTTGATCAATAAAATCAAAGAGAACAGAGGTGAAGATAAACTTCAGAACTCGAGCTTGTAGATGTATTTCGTCCGGACACTTTAGCGGGGAAGATGTTCCGCAACGCAAGGGCGACTTCCCTTGTTCTAGTTATAGGAGAGTCTCTCTAACTTAGCAAAGTTAGTCAAACTGGGTCGCCTGCATGAGGGGGACGAGCTAAAACCTTCTCCTAAATTTTAACTGACTTTTCCTGTCAGTCCAATGTCGAGCTAAATTAGCCTGGCTGTTCATGCAGAGAGGGGTGGTGCAGTATAACAAGTGAAGAAAACAAAACTGTATTCATAAAAGAACTTATTCGAATGGTTTCCCTTACAGAGTAACAGAACAGCTGTGGTGATGTTAAAATGTTCCGTCTCCCTGGAGGAAAAGACGAACTCCGCCTCAACTCTGAGCTTCATTTCTAATTCTCCTCCCTGTTCCCTAACCTGTCCTTTCTCCTTAGTCATCTTTTTTTGATTCCCAGCTCTAACTCCTCAACACATTTCTGCACTTCTCTACCATGGACGACCTTTTCAGGGACACACGGAAAACATCCATAAAAACAGAGCATCTCTGCAGTCTGTGCACTGCAACCAGCTCTTCTCTTACTTCTCAATCTCGGACTGTGAGCATTATTTACAGTTTGAAATCAAGCCGTTGCAGAAACATGCTCAAGAAATGAAAGTGAATTTCGAGAGGAGACAGAAATAAAACTGGACCAGCAGGTGAGCCGACAGGTGGAAGGAAGTACAACCAGTGCATGTTGTACATCCTCATCTCAGTTCCCCAAGGACCAAAACAGTCGAGGTGCCTGATGCACCGAAACCACAGGTGACGAATCTTTATCACGATCATTTCACAAACAATCGAATGTTTCTTGATAGTCTTCATTCCTGTTTGATTTGTAGATTTGTGTTGATTGTAAAGCAGTTTGAGCAGCAATTCATGCATAAAAGTTTTGATATAAATTAAGGACGGTCTATTGAATGGATTCTCTTAATGCTAACATATTTGATCCTCATTAGAAACCCCAAATGCTCCAGATGGTTTTGGATAAGATCATCCACTAAACGAAGTATTTGGGTTTTGTGACAGATCTCAGAGTAAATACAAGGACAGAGGGTTAAAGGCCAAAGAACAAGAGAGATTACAGTCTGGATGACATCAATTCCTTCAAGTATTTTGTATTTTTGGCCTCAAATCGAGTTAATGTCTCCTTGAAGATTTCCTTGTGATCCTCTGTTTAAATGGGTTAAAAAAGGACATAAAGTTGAGGAAGGGGAAGTCCGATTGCAGCGTCACTTTGCAGAAACTCTTTCACCATTGCTCAGATTTCAGCACAAAAACTGAAAATTACCACTCGTACTCGTAGCAAATATTTATGTCCAGATAGCCCTCCTATATGAGCCATATCATGGAGGCAGGGAGGCGATAAAACCTCCACAATAAAGCCTTTCAGTCGATGCCTGTGCTTCCTGACTGAGCTCTTACAGCTGCGTGGGCTCTTATCGAGATGTGCAGGTGGCTGCTTCCCCCTTTATTTACACACACACACACACACACACACTTTGCTGAAAAGGGAAGTGAGACCGTGGTCTGAAATGATTGTGTAGTTCCCCTCATTACCATTTTAAGCTGCATCCGATTTCTGCATTTTACTGATGAACTAGACTGAAAACAATTAAAGTTTGTGCATTAAAATTCAATTATCACCTCAACAAGCGACGTCTTAAAGCCGAACAAATGATTTTCAGAGAGGAAGGAGATTAATGAGATGGAATTTAGGGAGACTACTGAAAATCAAAGCAGGTAAAACACCAGCAGGGAAACTCAAAACAAACAACGTGTTCAACGACATTACCTAGAACGATGCTGGTCAGTTCTTACTCATCGACCGAATATCAACCTACCATCATCATCATCATCTATTCATGCACAATTATACCTCAATGACAACTCACTCTCTATGTGCTAGCTTGCATCACATCCATCCATCCAATCTTCCACCAACCCAGGTCCTCCCACTTCGAGTTGGGCTTTGGACTTGAGCATGACTTAAGGGATAAAAACATGAGGACTCGAGACTTGACTTGATTAAGAACTACTGAACCAACTACCTACCAACCTGATACAAAAAACAGTCAAGTCTCAGATCCCAGAACAATAAAAAACAAATTAACAAATGAGACCAGGCCATGCACAGCTAAACACACTGAATATGGAAATAAAAGGATAAAGTTAAACACGAGTAACAGAGATTTGAAAGGAAAAAGATCATGTCATGATCAACCTTCACAACTCGGAAAGAGATGGACTTAATTTTTGAGACTAAAAGGTCTTCAGGGTAAACTGGTTACCTGATCAGGTGGACCCACTTCTGAATCTACCATCCCCTCCCATCCATGCACTGTTGACTGACCTGTCGGGCCAACCTGCGGGCCTCCCAGTAAGGCTTGGACTCCTCAACAGCCTTGCCAATCTTCTTCACCAGTTCGTCCAGCTTCACCGTGGCCTCCACCAGAACCGAGCGGAACTTCTGCCTCGCATCCTGATTGGAAAAAAAAAAGAAAAAAGAAGAAGGTAAAAGTTTTGGTTAGATAAGTCAAAACAAACGAGGGAAATATTTGAGGGCTCAGCTGAACTTGCAGGACCTCTGATCATACTGATCATCTTAAAAACGTTAGGTAATCAGTACCCACCCCCACCATACTGTCTAGTGTACGAATACGGGATTTTAATGGTTTTGCTCATCCCAAACCCAAACAGTGAACACAACCATTCCCCTCAGCTCTGCAACAAACGCACCTAATGAAATCCTAACCTGAATTAAGGCGATTCAAGGTCTCTGCCAAAACCCCATTTGGTGAAAAATCACATTAGTGCATCAGTGAGATAAAAGGAAGCTGTTACGTAGAGTTTCAGATGATGGACTGACAAAAACTAACGGGACGGTGCTTGACTTAATTGTAAAATATGTCACCAGAGTTTAAATCCAATGTTGTTTCTCCAACTTTTGTCAATGAAAATGCCCCTTATGAGCCTTTAAAGATGCTTCTTGCTTTATTTCACCTTGCACATAAGAATGACCACTTGTTATATCAGTTGACAGGGCGTTGCGCTCTTGACCCTTCATCTCCATCCTAGTCGCTGCTCGCAAAGCTGCTAGTTGAGGAAATGAAACTTGCTCTATTGCTCCCAGCGATGAGTCGCAGTCGGCATCAACACGAGCATCTACTCTAAAACCCAAGTAATCAGAGATAAAAATCACTGAAAAGTAGGTCTAAATGGTGGCTGAGAAGCATTAACTCTCAAACCATTAAAAACTTCATCTTATCTGGGCAAAGTATTCACATCATGTGCCAGATAAAGCTGACACAGTTTTCCCGAGAACGCGGGTGTCCCAGTAAACACTGGAAAGCAGACTCAAGCCAATCTGTTTGTAGATGCCTGTGAAAAATTAATGTCCTATATAATGTTGTTAACTAGTACGAAGCAAACCTTGTTCCATCTTAGAGAGCTTTGTTCATTCATTGGTACTTGTCAAGGGGAAATTCTCAGACTGATTTGGCTCTTAGATGTCATCATGGACGTGTAATTGGCATGACGGGCAGAGAACTTTCTAAGCACAAGAACAAATAGACCAAGACGAAAAACAAGTAAGAAACGTCATGTATCTACGCAGGGAAGTTCCTTATTAAGTCTCCTCCTCATTTAGCAGGGTCAGTTATACAAGTGACATTGGGGACAAGGATGTTTGGCAGCAGTGGTCTTGATTTGAAAGACAAGCTCCACAACTGCTGTCCCAAAAGAAACCCTCAAGTTTAAGGAAACAACAGTTTGTAAGGTCTCAGCACATTCGTCCTCAAACAGACTTTATTTATCTGGAGAGCAAAAGAAGACAAATATTTCTTGTGACATCCCTTTGTTTGAATGTCAGTCAGTTTGTTTGTCCTGACACAAGTGGTTGCTTTTGATGCGACCATCCAGCTGAGATTTATCCTATTAAAACTCAAGTGGCACCACTACACAGAGAAGCCAAACATTGCAGTTTTCAGTCCTCAACAACCCCAGAGGACAAGGTTTGATAGAGTCTATGATCCCGTTATTTAGAAGTACAATGGCAATTGGTGATTGAATTTGCCGTTTCAGACACTGAAGATGTTTCTCGTCCAACAGGTTTCTCCCATATTCCAGAGATTGGGACTTCCACACATTATAACCTTCTGGTTTGTTGGTTTAAGGAAACTGTTGTTGACATTGTATCGAGGGCCAAGGTCAAATTCCTATATGCAAGCACTAATGGATGTCTCACAACCTCGCCCCAGTCCTTTGAAGATCTCTGATATCTTCGAGTTTCAAATAGGGGCGGTGTTGTGCTCATTGATGGCCATTTCCTCTGGGTGGAGTCACGATTGACCAATCAGAGCTCTGTAAACAGGATGAATTATGGCCTTTAATTAAGTCCTCTTCCTACTAAGCTATCTAGCTGAGCAGTTACACTGATGAAAAACAGTCAAAGCAAAAATGATCACAAAAGTGGCAACAGGAATGGATGAGATCAATGGAGCTGCTATAAATGGATTTACAAAAGCATTAACATTTGCATATTTCTTTGACCAATAGGAAAATTAACCCATTAGCTGCTCCTAGCAACAGCTACCACAGCTTCCATGTGGAAGCATCTGGAGACAGATGTGTTACTCATGACTGTTGCTGGTTAGGGCAAAAAACAAACAAACCAAACAAGAAAATGTCAGCTTGGGATGAATTTCTCAAAAGCTGCAGATTACTGCTGCTGCTGCTGCTGCTGGTACACCATGTATTTTCAAAGTCATTGTTGCTTGCACATTGCAGACACATCTTGCATGAATATTAAGTATGGGGTTTGTTTTGAAATATGTCAAAATGAGAAAAAGAGGAAATGAGCTCATGTTGCCTCTTGCATGTTGTGAATTTGGTGAGACGGGCCTCAGGCTATCAGGCCTGTGTCACCCTGCACACGACGAGCTCACGGGCTGCTGAAAACCAGTGAACCGGCTCTAATGCTGTTGTCTCTGTATGAGCTCTTGTATAATTCTTGTGATGAATAAATACATTTTTAAGGACATCCCTTTCTGCAATGAATAATGAGGAGTGTCTGCTCTGTTTCCAGCGAAGACAGAGTTCCTTTGAATGTAACTGTGATATAACAAATTCCCCTTCACTGATTCAGTTCTGTGCTGCTGCTGTTAAAGACGATCAACTTCTCAGAACAACCACTCTCGTGACATTTTCAGCGTCTTTTATAGACGACGAGGAACCTTCAAGTTTCTTTTTGGTTGGTTTTCTAAAGCTGTTGGGTTTCTCTTCATAATACTGTAAGGCACTGTGATGTATTTTATGCTTTGGCACTATACAAATAAAACTGAACTGACATGAATTGAATTAAAGGCTACACAAAGTTGAACTTTCCCAAAATGAACTACATTTTACTTAATTAGTGTTTTTTTTAGCACGTCTGTCACTCGACTCACCAGCAGCTCAAAATGCAGTAGAACAAAAAGGTTCAGTTATTGAAATCAAGAACAACCAGAAGAAAATGTTCCAAGGTGAGAAACAAATGGACTAAAAACAAATGCTGCTAAAGTTCCTGTAGATAAAAAAGCTCATGCATAATGGAAAGGCGCTGGGTAAATAAACAGAAAGGCAGGAACATGTTCTGGAGGTGGAAGAATAAATAAACTAGACTTGGATGCTGCAGTATTTTTTTTTTTGGCAGTTTATTTTTCCATGTTCATTAGAGATTCTATGGGCATCAGATGTGTCTGAAAAATAACCTCTTGGTGAACTTTAAAACTCTTAATATAGAAACATTTGAACAGTGTTGGGTTAGATTTCCCCTATAATTCAGTGAGCTAACACTAGGGCTAATTACCTGTGCTGTGATACAACACTAGACCCGGTGGGGATGCTGACAGTCTCTTTTCTGCATCTTGACACACAATTCAATTTGCGTGACATCACATACGTAGCCGTCAAATTAATTTTCATTAGCCTTTTGCAGGTTGGAGACTGCATTTTCAACCCACTAACGCAGCTGACGTTAATTTGCCAGCTTGGTGCAGCTGATGAAAAACTGCCTGCAGCAGCTGAGGCAAAGAAAAATGAGAAGCAGCTTTTCTCTACTTCTGTCTGATGTGAAGAAGCCGTTGTTTCAAAAACTGAGAGTGGAAGATCCGCCAGTGTTATCAATGTAAACTGCATATGTGTGGTGCTGGAGCGGACCATGGAAATGTTTGCATTTTCAGGAATTTGATAATCAAGTTTGTGTCTGGACTGGAATCAAAGGCTGGATTCAATTTCAGCTGCTCAACAGCAACGATTCAAAGTTAATTTGTTGAACTTTAAAAAACTCATGACATCTGTATCTAAAGAAAGCTTGGCCTTATTTATCTGTGCCAAAAACACACTTACTGAAAAATCTTAACGTTAGTATTGTCTCAACAAGGTAACAACCGGCACCCGAGAGGCTTTCAAACCAGAAAACACATTCAGACTGAGACTTTGGAGAGTTTCAGTATCGTCTGCATCAATAGAGCTTTTCAGTTCTGCTGTCTTGCTGAGAAAGAAATGCATTTTCTCTGAACATTTTTTCACCATTGATCCAGGTCATAACAAAAACAGCAGCTGTAACTCTGCATCCTCACAATCTGCAGGTTTCTTTCATTCAAGGAGGTTTCAGTTCAACATGAATAAAATGTGTTAGAGAAAAGGTCATTGTTCAAAAACCGACACCGTCTCTGGTTAAATTTCCCAGCAGGCCTCAGGCCATGAAGGGGCCGCAGCAGTCTGAGATGTTGGAGCTGCACAGGCAGCTTAAAACACAACGTTACTGTAGACTGGTGTGTGGAGTTTTTGATCTCGACGTGGATCGTTATCCTGCCCTCCAGGCTCAAACACGTCAGTCAGTCCTCTCCAATTTGACTTTTAGCCCCGTTCTGTTCTGTCAAACTTGATGTTTCAATCCTTCATACCATCTTTTCATCTCCACCACCTTCAAAATATTTCACCACTGCCCACGTCTCTTCACCGAATGAAACCAAATGATGGTTTAAACCTTTTATTCTTTCACTACACTGATGCTTGATGCTTATTTTTAGCTACAGTAGCAGCATTAGGCTGAAATATCTTTTCAGAGGACGGACACTACTGACACTGGTAAACCTCTGACTTTCCTTCTTGCCCAAATGTCTTGCTTGGCCAAAACCCAAAAGGCAATCCAGTTTAGAAAAGCGACAATTAATCGATAAATCAATTTGTCAACCAACAGGAAATTAACTTTTTTTGTGAATTGATTAATAATTTAAAAGCATTTATTAAGCAAAACTGCCATAAATTAGATGGTTCCAGCTTTTTAAATGTGAGAATTTGCTTCTATGAAAAGCAGGATGTGTTTGGGGTTTTACTCTGCTGATCAGACAAAACATAATTGATGATGTCACCTTGAGGACATTGTGATAGGTGATAGATATTTTTACAATTTTGCAAAACAATTAAATCAAGAAAATAATCAGCAAATTAAGGGATAATGAAAGTATTGGTTAGTTGCAGCTCTTATCACAATCATTGTACATTTATTTCTTTTAGTTGACTTGATCGATTATATAAATGAATCGTTTCAGCACGAAACCAAACTGCATCACGTACACATGAAAGGAAACTGGACAGTTCAGAGTACTGGATGGAGTTCCAGTGAAACAATCACTGTGGGAGGTTGAAGTGCTGACTTTCAGTTTTAAGGGAAACTGACATGACATGACACTTCTTAACCCCTGTGACTGTCCACAGTTCCCACACAGTTTGTCAGATGTGGGTGTAAACGTCCTCAAATTAAAGCTGGAAGTCAGCACTTTACCCTTAAGAGTCACAGTTTCATGTCAAACTCACAGTGAAACAAACACGGCAGAGTGAACGACAGATAAAAACGTAAAAAAAAGAGGTCACGGAGCTACACAAAAGCCATGAGTGCGTATCCGTGTCCTCTCTCCCCCCCTCTCTCCGTCCTCTCCTCTGTATCTCTGCGATGATGCTGCTGTTGATGCAGACCGCAGTGCAGCGTCTCCGTCCTCCCACTCAGGGTTTGGACGCTCACACTGCGAGGCACTTCACCTTGTCAACACATTCCTGCCCTGAGGTGTCATGTCTACAGCTTTATCTGCTGAATTAAATATCATCTGCCCCCTCTCTGCTATGAAAGTGCATTCGCTTCTTTCGCATCACTGAATTTCTCATAACATTCGCCTCATTATTACTCTCTCCATCCCCGTCGTCAGCTGTTTAAACACTTCAGATCAGATCGTTCTTCGGGGTCAAGCGATTTGATGATCTAACAGCTGCTGATTTCGATCTGTGAACAAAACAACAGGAGGCTCGGCCAAAACTGCTCTTTCAAACGCTCAAGTGGAAAATTTGGAAGCATTTCTGAGGGAAAAATATTAATCCGGCAGTAAGCTACGCAGGATTTAAGCACTTCAAATGTTTATGTGGACATCAGAGGAGCAGTGTAAACACAAGACAGCTACTTTTACAGAAAGTATCTGACATCAAGTTCCTGTGATGATGAGCATCTGTCCTCCTTCAGTGTCCTTGAGCAAGACATATCTCTGACCTCCCTCTAAAGTCTGCGACTAAAGATTATTTTCATCATCGATCAGTCTGCCAATAACTTTCTTGCTTCATCGAAAATGTCCAAAAGTATTAAAAGCTCCTCCAGTGTAAAGGTCTCTGTCCATGTGTAGTGTGATTATAGATCAGGTCTAGCTTCTATATTAATACTGTGAAAGTATCAAAGCCTCAGTCCACAGAGAAATGCACACAGCCTGTATTCAGAAACTGAGCCTTAAAACCAGCCGTCAGGACTTCTGGAACTTTGTGATGTCACAACAAAGCAGTCACCAAGCCCCGCCCACCTGGACCCACCATCCAAACCTCAGAAAACAGTCAGCCAATCAGAAGAGAGGATCAGAGCCTCCTCTATTTATCTCTAGGAGGCCAAATGAAAGAGGTGTTTAGTATCATATTACTCACATCAGCATTAACTGACTGCTGTGTTGGCTGAAGTCAAGGTCATGTTCAGGGGCAGAAACACTTGGACTATATTGTGTTGTCAGTAGAGCTGCAATCAATCATTTTCATTATCTATAAAGCGACCTATTAATATCTTGATTAATCAGTTTGATTAGTAAATTGTGAAAAATGCTTATTATAGTTTATGAGCCTGTGGTGACGACAAAGAAACCAAGGAAATATTTACATTTGATGAGGTTGGAACCAGTGACTTTTGCCATTTCTGCTTCGACTATTGATTGTGAAAACTTTTTGTCCACTGCTAATCGGTTAAAGAAAAGAAAATCAGTTGATGTTTTTTTCTAGAATGAATCCTTCTTCCTTCGATTTTGTGTTTAAATTGAGGATCAAATTCTTCATTAAGCACAAAGCTATGAACTTGTTCAAGGGTCTGGACTGTTTGTCGTCATTGAAATTTCTATTAGGAGATAATCATCTCTTCAGATCCTTTAACACTCAATCACACCCCATCTCAAAAACTCTGGGGAAAACATCCACTGGCTCATGTTTTGTTTTCAACTGTTTTTCAGACAGGAGACCCGTCACAGTCCTGAACAGGAGACGTCTTTGTCAGACGCGAAAACAACATGACTTGATTTCGACTCCGTGGAGCCATAAAGAAAAGGGCAGAAACATAAAATCGGTCAAGGTTTAACAGTCGACACAGTGTCGATTCCATCGGGCACAGACAGGTTGGACCGACCACACGGACATAACCACGACCGAGGGGGTAACTGCTGCTGCGTGTCGTATCTGCATTTTCTGGACACATTTTTTTTTCCAGTTATGAATACAGTGACCACAAAGAATATCCAGCTCACAACAAAACACAAGACGCAGCAGCCGAAGCGCCGTCCTAAATGACTGAAACAACATACTGGCAAGATAACCCACTTGTGAGAGTGGTTATCACTAAATAAAATATGCATCACTTACTGTAAACTTGTTTTGTACGCTTTCATATCTCATTTCCCTCCACTGCTGCTTGTCAACAGCTGACAGCTCCGCTAAACATAGAAAAATCACAGCTGGGAACTGATCTCTGATCATCTGGACCAGTGTCAGTTTTTGCATCTTCCGTCTCGCCTTGTATTTTTAGACGGCGATGTTGAGTTCAAAGCTTTTCTTATTTGTTTTGGAGGCTTTACACCGTCTGCCACCCCCGAGTGCATCTCTGCGCTCCTCTGATTTGTCACCAATCGACTCTCATACTGTGACAGCGTGAATGAAACTTGGCTGTTGTCTGGTTCATTTGAGCCAAAGATCGGTTTGTGAGGGAAAAGATAAATCGACACAGGCCCCGTTCAGACCTCAGGTGGACTCCCTCCAACTACGTCAGTTCCCACCTGCATCTCCAGTGACCACATGTGATTGAATCTCTCATGTGAAAGTGGTCTCAGACTTTTGGAAACCCACTGTACATCATTTGTGTTTGCAAAGACCCAATGTGTCGTTGTTTTTAGCCAGTCCGACTGCGACGGATGGGTCTGTTGTCCATGTGTTTTCGAGAGGGAGGGAGGGAGGGGGTGGTCAAGGAGGGGCCGAGCGAATCAATGCGCTGCTCAGAGCTCTACAATGAAATTAGATTTTATCCGTTTGAAATAGCAAAATATTGTCGGTTCATTATGAGACAGGACTGTGGCGGAGGACGTCAGTAGAGTAGGCGGTCCTTCAGAGGACGTCAGTAGAGTGGGCGGTCCTTCGGTGTGACCCAGGACACATTTGTGTTCACACTGCTAAGAGACTTGTGGCCCAGACCACCAGATCTCAAATGTGTCCTCGATTCACACCTGAACTTAGAGCTGTCCACCTGAGATCAAATCACCTGAGACAGATGTTAAAAGGTCTGGACGATGGTGCGTTCACACACACACCGATACAAACCCGTTGATCTCAGTTCAACAACAATCCCTTAAAACAAAACCCTTTAACCCTTGAACTCTTGTTCACCTCGACCTCTGACCGACACCCTGTATGATTCTGTGTGACAACACTTTGGACTTTCAGCTCTATAAAGCTGCACACATGTTGCTGACCCACATTAATGTAAGCCATCAGCTTTTACTGGAGTTTAATGGGATTCAAAGATCAGTTATGCAACGACTGGCCCCTTCCCGCCCAGGTGATCATCTCGTCTCTGCAGTGCATCACAGCTGCTGCGTTCAAAGGTTCAGTCTCCACAGCAGTCCGCTTCCTCTGTGCAAAAGTTTCATGAGACTCTGGACCCTGTCTGCTCGATCTCTGCAAACTCTTCTGAATATAGCCGTCAGTAAAACTCCGTTAAATGACCCAGTTATTTTTACTGTAACACAATATGTCGTGCTGACACGGTGCAAAATGTGAACTTTACAAACAGGTTGGCCTGAAGACAGAGCAAAGGTTGAGCTGTAATTCAGTTAAAAAAAACTGCTGTATGTGCAAACAGTGATACCTTCAACACAACACTCGTCTGAAAAAGGTAAACTGACTGGATTTCACAGACCGCGGGTCCACGCGTGACGAGCCGCTCGGATCTGCTGATACCAGTTACACGGGAGCGATTACATGCTCTGTTAGTCAAAAACCCGACACACTGCATGAGTGCACAGAAAACCTGTAAACACATTCAAACCCCCCCCCGACAGACTGACCTCCAGCTCCGTCTCACATCTGTTGATGTCGTCGGTGGACTGGTTGAGTTTCTCCAGCTCCCCCTGGAAGAGAGGGAACATGGGAGAGATGAAGCAGAAAAGAAAAGGAGGATGAGGAGGGGGAAGTGATGTAATATATATATATATATATATATATAATACCTGGAATTACAGAGAGCGAACTAGACACATACTGAGTGTATTAGGAGAAACACATTCACATTAAAAGAAGCTTATGGGTTTCTCCTACTAGGACTGTTACTAAGATCGTTTTCATCATCGATTCATTTCCCATAATTGATCATTCAGTCTATAAATAGTCAACAATGGCCGTCGTCACATCTTCAAAATGTGTGTGTGTTCAACCAAAAGTCCAAATCCCCAAAAATATTCAGTTTCCTATGATATGACAAAGAAAAATCAGACAGTCCTCTTGACTGAGAGGCTGGAATCAGAGAACCTTTGACCTTTGTTCAACATTTTTGCTTGAAAAATCACTTAAACTAATAATCAATTAGCAAAATAGCTGCAGATTATTTTTCTGTGTAAAGAATAATGAACTGAAAAACACTTGTTGATTAAACGGGTGATAACAGGCGGACAAATACAACCAGTGACGATGGTCTTTTAAAAAGGGCAACATGATAGACATCAGCAAAGCTAATTCACAGATAAAGGAAACGATGGAAATGATTATTAGTTTGCAGAATCTGGGCGACACCGTGACGTCTGGTTTTACCACTCTAACTCGATTTAGCATTAACCGTTTATGGCTGACATGAATATTCCTGATGCAGGTTAAAAGCAATCACACTGGTGGCCACTGTATGATAAAACTTATCTATACTGCACATCATGCATAATCGAAAATGACTCTGCAACTATATTGCTGATTAATCATTTTTGAAGCAAAAGAACCAAAATTTCTCCAGCTTTTGTTTTGTTGTTGTATTTGTCTTTGGCTTGTTTTGTTTTTTTTTATGTTATGTGATAATAAACTGATCATTTCTGGGGTTTGGACTCTTGACTGGACAAAGAAAACTTTCTGAAGACATCAGGAAATTATAACAATCAATCATTTTTCACCACTTCCTGACCTTTTCTAGAACCAACGATTAATTGATTAACTGAGAAAATAATCGTCACCTATGAAAACCTTTAATAATGAGCCCTTTTTACAATGAATACTGCCTTGTTCATTATATTAATTATGTCTTTTTCATGCCGTACTCATTATTTTTTATCTTTTTCACAGTTTTACCTCATTATTTCTTTTACATTGGTGAAAGACTAACTTTAACTTGTGTTTAGTGAACAAAAATATGTACATTTCTTACTTAATGAGCTCATAATTTACCCTCTTTTTGAACTGCATCACCATGAACTGGATTGTGTTTCCAACAGATTTGCATTATCAGTTCAACCAGCCATCGTCACATCACGTGAATCAGCTTCAAACAGTCACATCTGTATGAATTATTAAAAATATAACATGTAAACTGAACTCGTATATAAATAAAGACACAGGGGGGTCATGCAGGAGATGCAGAGGCTGCATCGTACTTTGCTCCCTGCTGTTGGCTGCAGACGCGTTGGCCGCTCTACAATGAAAACGTTATCGATTATAAAGCCACAAATCGATACCGTGGATCTGTTACCTGGACTCTGGGGTCCACCTCCTCGTCTTCGTACTCCGTCTCGTCGTCCGACCTGTGCTCCCTCTCTGACTGATCCATGGTGGAGATGGAGGATGGATGTCACCGCCGAACAAAAGACAAGACTAACCTACAGACACCACAGACGGAGCGGGCTCATCTGTCTCCGCCTGTCACCGCACGTTGGATTCACGGAGCAGTAGCCTACTTGTTGTGTCTCCACCTTAAATTATTTTACGTTTTTTTTTGTTTTTTTGTGTTTGTCTTTTCCTAGAGGACGAGTCTGTGGAAGAAGAACATCCTGGTTTTGTATCCGTCCACCGAGCCGGGCCGAGCTGTGGCGTCTCTCCCCGCTCCGCTCTCCCTTCGCTCTGAGCCCCGATGCTGAAATGACCCGAGCTCTGCCTCAGACCGGGAACGCCCCCTTCTGCGAGGCTGTGGGCAGTATGAGGGGTGATTAGTGCCATGTAGCGGTGAACCGTCATAATGAATGACAGGTTTTTTTTCAACATCTTGTTGAAGCAATTAAACGTTGAAAATAAATGGAAACAATCGTAAAGTCTGAAATAAGATACATAGTAAAATACATAAAAGGAAATATGATATGTATATGTTTTGGGGTTTTTTTTGTAATTAATCAATATAGTGTCCAATTATTATTTTGAATTGCTGGATGTGTTGCTATAGAAATGGAAAATTAATTTGAAAAATAAAGCATTCGAAAAAAAGGAAGAAAAAGGCTGATTGACAACAAGGCAGATTAGGAACATTTAAATGTCCCATATAGTCTAAAAGTAGATGTCCTTGTGTTGTTTGATTATAAAACAGGTCTAGGTTCTATATTAATACTGTGAAAGTGTCAAAGACAGAAATGCACGGAGCCTGTATTAAAACTGAGCCTTAAAACCGGCCGTTAGGACTGCTGGAACTTTGTGATGTCACAACGATGCAGTCACTGCTTCCAACCACGGCCTCAGTTCTTCATGACATTCAACAAGATGTCGGAAACTTTTCTGCAGGTTTATCAGCTGCACATTCATCTCCTGGTCTACCCAAGTGGCAAACTGCCATGATGTCACCCATTGGTTTGTGAACTGCTGTTTTGAAGCCTCGAGTTTGGCTTAATGGACGTTGCCATCTTGGTTTTTTGGAGCCAGAAGAAACCATAGTTGGATGAGAGGGTGGAGCAGGGGAGGAGTGAGGGGTGGCTCTGACCTGTGTCACCATGGACGCTAAGTACGCTGACCTGCATCAGCAACCTGACAGCAACAGGCTCCTGGCTGAGCCTTGCGAAGATGCTGTTAACAGGGTTAGCTGTAACAACTAACTGGCCACATTTTATATTGCACCTTTACAGCACAACCACCAAAGCAGACATTTAAAAGTAAAGCTACATGTTCTTTGCCCACATTGCGAACCAACTTACAGTTTTGACACTTAGTTAAAAGAAAGATAGAAAAACGGATCTGTATTTTCTTTCCAAAAGGATGCAGAGAGGTAAGTCTAGACAGGGATGGATTTTAAAATGAGCTACTGTCCCATTTAATACCTTTGGCGCTGCCTGTAATGCGGTATCTTCTGTATAGAGGATATTTGCTCTGCACGACCGCCTACACCGGCTACCTGACCGCAGCAGGCTCCTGGATACGCGCTACGAAGTCGCTGCTAACACAGTTCGCATTCATAATTCGAGGTAAACTTTATATCTTTGTGTTAAAATAATCTTAGTAGCTAATTGCATACATGTCCACATTTGGTAAATATCACATATATGAGGAGAAACCTTGTAATATGAGCTGAAGTTACTGTGTGTAAGCTAACTGTGTGGTGTAACCGCTTGTATTAAAACCATAGACCGAGGGAAAACATGTTATAACGTGTTTTAAAATGAGTTCTGCAAAGCGAAGGTGACGTCACCGAACTTAGTGTTAACAGATGGTGCGTTCCATTTACCTCGGAAGTCGGTGGTGGGAATGACGTCACACCCGAGTTATCAGCGTTTCAGTTACAAAGTCGGAAAAAAATAGCCAACGGCCTAAAACGGAAGCGGAAACAAGATGGCTACATCTACGAAAGTTATTCTCGGGCTTGCCTTGTCCAAATATAAACAACTTCTGAATTATATTATTATATATCATTATATTGAAGACTGGAACGGAGTGGGAGATGATGCTGAACATGGATGATCACACCTTTTCACGTCATTTACGTGTCACCAAGCCCCAGTTTGAATATGTATTGATAAAGCTGCAGGACAATGGTATTCAAAAACAACACTGTCAAGGTCTACCACCAGTTCCTGCAACAAAGAAGGTGCTGATGTTCCTGTGGTACATGGCCAACCAAAACAGCTTCCGTGAGATGTCTGATAAGTTTGATGTGTCAACATCATGTGCACAATAGGATCATCCTTTATATCCTGGCCAAATACCTGACTACATGAATCGAAAGTCTTTTTATTCTGTCCTCCTTCAGGGAATTGTGGATGAGAGGGGGCGATTCATTGATATTTTCGCTGGACCACCAGGGAAGGTCCATGATGCCAGGATGTTGAGGGCCTCTGACTTCTACACGACATGGCAGGAGAAGATGGGTGACAACAGCTTGCTGGGAGACAGCGCATACATCGGACAGGCATTCCCTTTTGTCATCACGCCTAAGCGTGACAACGGGGCTCTAACTGAGGCCGACAAGCTGCAGAACTCCAGGATAAGCCGTGGGAGGGTGGTCGTAGAGCAAGCCTTCGGAAGAATGAAGTTTAAGTGGAGGCGCCTACGAGATCTGCAGTACACCCGGATCGATGCAGTGGTGATGATCATAATGGCTGCTTGTTTTCTACACAACATGTGCATTGGTGCTTCAGAGATCTGTCAGGAACACCCAAATGGATGCCCAAGACAGGCAGATGAAAATGAGTGACTGCAAATGTCATGAGGCCATGCCATGAAATGATCCTACCCATCCAACAACATGCCAGGCAGAAATTTAATACAATTGAATACATTTAATACAATATTCAACACAAATTACAAATTCAATAAAATATTCAAATGTTCAAAATGTTCCCTTTTGATTCAAGAAAAAACACTTAGATACAAAGTAGTGCGAATTAAAATAGTGCAATGAACATAGTGCAAATAACTTGACACCCCGGGCAGAAATTTGATATTACATACTGTATATTAATAAAATATTCAAAATATTCCCTTTTATTCAAGTAAAAATTTAATTTTCCTCGAATATAAAATGTGTAATGAATGTAGTTCAAATGCTTATAATTAACAAAAGATTCAACAATAACAGCAATGCTAACAAGAATAACGGAATCACAGTTTGTCTAAGAATCGACACATCAGGCCCTCAAACCCTTGCTGGGCTGACTTGAGCTGAGCCAGTAACTCTTTGTGGCACCTCTGTGCCTCCTCATGGCGCCTCTGACTGGCTTCCTCGGACTCCCGGAGGAAATGGAGGATGTCCCCTTTTTCCCGCCGACGCTTATGAAGCCGTGTGTGTGTTGGTGCTGTGTGGGTGCTGGAGCAAGAAGCAGCCTCTGCTGGAGGTGCCGTGACAGCTGGAGGCCCAGCTGGGGATGGGCTGAGGGGGGCAGCTTTCTCCTTGAAGCTCTCTACAATACACATATGAGTAATACGCTATCAAACATTGTATCATAGACATAACTTTTGTTATCATCATCATCATTATTATTATTATTATTATTATTATATCTAACCTGCTGTAGTGTGACTGTCCTCAGTCATGACCAGGTTTGCCTCAGTAGTGCAGTCCGCGTTCACNGGACAAAATAATTCTAAGAAGTGGCTGCTGAGCTTCTCAGCTGTCTCCCTCCACAAGTTCCTCATGTTAGACCTTACAGATTTAAGCCGAGAGTTCAGCTCTTTAAGGGTCTTTGGGAGGCCATCCGCTTCTGCTGCCAGGTGTTGGCGCATTAAGTCTATGAGAAACAGAGTTTGCTTATGACTGAAGCCTTCATTGGGCAGGGGAGGAGATGGTGATGGTGATGGGGATGGGCTGAGGGGGGCAGCTTTCTCCTTGAAGCTCTCTACAATGCACATATGAGTAATAGGCTATCAAACATTGTATCATAGACATAACTTTTGTTATCATCATTATCATTATCATTATTATTATTATTATTATTATTATTATATCTAACCTGCTGTAGTGTGACTGTCCTCAGTCATGGCCAGGTTTGCCTCAGTAGTGAAGTCCGCGTTCACGAGGTACCTGGTCAGGTCATGTGCTTTTTGATAAAGAGGTCCGGGAAAAGGTGTCCTCCTATCTGGGTCAACATATAGATTCGCATTGTTGTCCACATAGACTGGGG